TTTCAGTAGATGCTTCCGGAGTAGGTATAGGGGCTGTTTTATCCCAGAACAATCACCCCATCGAATACTTTAGTGAAAAACTAAGCCCTTCACGACAAAATTGGAGCACCTACGAACAAGAACTCTACGCTTTGGTCTGTGCTCTTAACCAATGAGAGCACTATCTCTTAAGCAAAGAATTCATACTTTTCACTGATCATTTTTCCCTTAAATTCCTCAATACTCAAAAAACTGTAAGCCGAATGCATGCAAGATGGTTGTCTTTTCTTCAAAGATTTGACTTTGTTATAAAACATAGAACGAGGATTACTAATAAGGCAGCCGACGCCCTTAGTAGAAAGGGAAACTTACTAACAATCCTACAAGGAAAAATAATAGCCTTCACCACTTTACCCGAGTCATACGCCACAAATATAGACTTTAAAAAAATTTGGCATAACTGCTCTACGAACAATAACTCTGAAGACTCACCGTTTAGAAGGATACTTATTCAAAGGTAATCAATTATGTATACCCCATACATCTCTACGGACAACACTTATTCAAGACCTACATTCAGGCGGGTTAGCAGGCCACTATGGACGGGATAAAACCTTAAACTTAGTAGCTAATCGTTTTTTTTTTTTGCCACAAATAAGAAAAGATGTCTTCAGCTACGTAGCCAAATGTTTTTGTATGCCAAACAAATAAAGGAACAACCCAAAACACGAGACTCTACACCCTTTTACCCATATTTCAATCAATTTGGGAAGACCTATCTATGGATCTTATCTTAGGATTACCCAAAACACAACGAGGATTCGATCCAGTCTTGGTTGTTATTGATCGTTTCAGCAAAATGGCACATTTTTTAGCTTGTAAGAAAACAGATGTTTATATGTGGCTAATCTTTTTTCAGGGAAGTGGTTCGACTTCACGACATTCTTAAAACAATAGTTTCATACCGTGATGTCAAATTTCTTAGCCATTTTTGGCGAACTCTGTGGCGCAAATTTGATACATCCCTCAAATACAGCACCACAAGTCACCCACAAACGGACGGACAAACAAAACTTTGGGAAACCTAATTCGATGCATATCCAGTGATCGCCCTAAACAATGGGACCTTGCCGTTGCATAAGCAGAATTCGCTTTCAATCATATGCAGAATAGATCCACGTGGAAATCACCATTTGAAGTGGTTTATACTAAACTACCTCGCCTAACTGTAGATATTACTAACTTACCATCTTCTATTGATGTTAGTGTGGAAGCTGAACAGATAGCAGAAAGGATAACAAAATTGCATCAAGAAGTCCGTGACCATATCGAGTCGGCCAACTCCAAGTATAAGGCAGCGACAGATACTAAAAGAAGACCAGTGAGCTTCCAAATTGGTGAACTGGTCATGATTTACTTACATAAGGGAAGACTACCTGCAGGCAAGTATAACAAACTTAACAAGAAGAAGATTGGTCCCTTTCCAATTCTAGAGAAGTGTGGTGACAACGCTTACAAGATTCAGCTTCCAACCGAATGCAACATCAACCCATTTTTTAACGTAGTAGAAATCTTCCCTTATCAAGCTCTAGACTCCTTCACTCTAGCTTCTTAAGAACTTGAGGGCAAATTTTTTTTTTTTTTGGGGAGGGGAAAATCTGATGTAGTCGTGAATACTATTTTAGTATTTCTAGTTTATTGGTTGTTTAGTTGGGTTGTTTAATTGTTTGTTAGTTAGTTAGGCTAGTTAGTTAAAAGCTTTCCTAGGCCTTTTGCTTATTAATAGCAAGTCTTTCCCTTTGTAAGAATCATCTTTATCTTTCTTAATAAAAATCCTCCCTTTGGAGTTATACCACTCTCTCTTCTCGTTTTCTCTCTCCTCTCTCGTTCTCTTTCTCGTTTTCTCTCTTTTCTCATTTTCTTGTTCTCTCCCTTCTTGTTTTGTTGTTATCTCTGTGAAGGCATTTCGGACCATAAACAGTTTTCTATCCTTACATCAGGAAACCACCTCTTCTTTTTCGATCCTGAATTGTGAACAAGATCTACTTTACGCTTGCGATATTCTTCGAGTGGCAGAAAAAGCGAGGCAATTTATTTCATTTCTTCATTGAAGATAGAGAAAGTTTGAGGGAGCGGGAAGAGAGAGAAGGAACACAAAGAGAGATGAGGGAGAGGAGAAGATGAAGAATGAGAAGAGAGAGAAGGAGAGAGAAAATCAGTTTCAAATGAAAAAAAAGAGTTGAAAAAAAAGAGAGGGAAAGTAAAAATTTAATCAAGTAGTGGAGGCGCATAATGGTCATTTGGTTCATTGGATGATGTCAGCAAATATTTACAAAACATAAAAATGAGGAGAAGGGCCACATTTCATAATCGGCCTTTAAAAAAGGCTACTCAGCCCAAAAACTCCTATAAATAGGCTTCCACCCCTCTTTTTTGACATCTTGAATCTTAG